AGTAATAAAAACTCATATGCTTGATTATGCATAATCATGATGCTGATTTCATGTATAATTTACTTACTTACTAGCACGACAGGACTATGGGGCGACTTGCCGCCTTGGGTTCAGATTGCTGTACATTAAGAGTAGCACGTGGTGAAGACATAATCAGCCATTGGCTGTTAGTAAATTATGGAAAACCAATGAAATGAACACTTTCAATCACCGCAATCCATTGAATAAGAGACGGTTAAAAGGAAGAATTTTGATTGATATTGATGGACTTTAACAATTCCTTTCGAAATTATTTAACACGTTCGTTACATTTCAAGATGTTCAGTTAACAGTATCAAGATTCAAGAAGTTCACTCAGGTATCTGAACATCAGAGGATATTGACAAACAAATGAATCACTTATCTCATGTTAACCACATTAACACACAGGTAAACTAACGCAACTGAGTTGCGCAACAGAATATAATAATTTTGTTCGCATTGGGTAAGACTGGTCATTTTGCTTTGTTGCGCAAGACAGTTGCTTTAGTTTGCCTGTGTTTTCAGTTGTTAATAAACAAACCACATATAAGAAATGCTTAAGTCCTTAGGCGGTGTAGTGCTGTGAACATTAGTAATCATTACAATCTCAGAGTGAGTTTAGTTTTTACGCCGCATTCAGTACAATCTCAGACACACTTTAACTGATCGAATGCAAGTTTCCATATTTTCTCGAATATATCAACGTAAGTAGTTAACATTAACTTTTAACAGATAAACAAATAAAACATTCACGTCTCTAACGTTTTCACAAATGTCAATGAAATTGAAAGAACGTAAGAAATGCCGATTAAACTCGAAAGTAGAGCCTTGTGATGTCGTTCACTGACAAAATTTGACAGCCTGTGTAACTGGTAGATTGTCAGTCATATCATTGAAGTGTAGCATCTTCTTACTTGCTGTATTAACAATGTCACTATAAACTTTGAAACATTTAAACTCGAACGTCAATAAGCAAATAGCTTCTGAATTTGAAAACTTCAACACATATGTGGGAGATTGGGAAGTGGCGGTTGAGTGATGTTAGTTACACCAGACTCACTCGACACTGTCTGAGGAATGGGATTAACCGGCTCCACGATTATAGCGACTGCTGGCACTGGTGGACAAGACGACGTTGAAGCGGACGAGGTTTGTAGAGTATTTCTCAGGTTTTTATTCAGAAAGATGATTGCAGCTGCTGTGCTTGAATCAAGTGATGCCCGCTGTTTGGTGATCTTGAGACCGGCGGTAGAGAAAGCTCTCTCAGATGGTACACTTGTACCGGGTATGCACAGATGTTCTTGAGCCAATGCTGCAATTCGTTGAAATAAGTTGGCATTTTCCCGCCACCAGCCAAGAGTTAACGATTTTAGCGTTGACGACCCAGACAGCTTGTTAGGGGCACACAGATAATCATGATGCTCAGCTCTGGCATCTTTGTGAAGGTTCTCGTCATCATCGATTTCGGTCATGTCATCCAAGAGGAATGACATAGCAATGTCATTCTCACCAAATTTGGACTTCTTGCTTGGCTGTTTGGGTGTTGTTGCTGGCGAATCTGGCTCTTCTTCTGGTTCCTCCGTCACATGAAAAGTAGGAGTTTCTTCTGTTGGATGACGTGTGTGGTTGCGTTCAATCAACTCGATAATATGGTTTTCGATGTCACTTTTTGTATCATCTGTCAGGAACTGCAGATTTTTGTAACAAGGGTCCAAGGCCGTTGCAATCATTTGAGGTCTCTTCCAAAACTCGTCTTTGAGAAGACGCCTTTCCAGACCCATTGCGATGGTTGTCTTCATGTCTGCAATGATATTCGTGTCCAAGTCTGACACTTTCAGGTGCTTGTTGACTAGCGCAAACAGAAGGGGGTACACACCTGAAGATGTTGGAAACTCTTCAGTGCAAAGGACTTCTGTGGCGGATACTAGTGGCTTCAGTGCCACGACAAGGTATTCCAGCAAACTCCAGTGTGTATCTTTTAGATTCAATCCCTTGTGTTTCTTCAGCAGCGGGTCATGGAGCACAGCCACGATGTTTGTGTGGAGTTCGGCCAGATGTTCCAACATGAAATAGGCAGAATTCCAACGAGTCACCACGTCGGTAATGACATTTTGGGGGGCTTTACCAAGCTTTGATTGATGTTCTCTGAGTTGTTGAGTTGCCAGAGTTGACTTTGAGAAAAACGCTACCAGCTTATTTGCAAACATCAGCATATTCTCAATAGAAGGAAGTTTCAAACCATCATGGACTGCTAGTTGAAGAGTGTGGGCGAAACATCTCACATGAGGATAACCTGCTGTCTTTGCCGCCAGAGACATGTTGCTCGCATTGTCAGTAGTTAGGCCGACCACTTTAGCAGTTCCAAATTCCTCCTGCACAGAATTTAAAATCCGTCCAATATTCTCGCCCGTATGGCGTTCCTCCACACTCCATGTGGCGAGCACACACAACTCAAGTACCCAATTGCTAAGAAAGTGAGCCGTAACCGCAATATAGCCCTCTGTTGCTATGCTTGTCCACATGTCTGTGGTAAGGGCAACATATGGAATAGCTTGAAGTTTGTTTTTTAGCTCTGACTTAGTTTCGTTAAAAGTATTATGCAAGTAATTGTGGAGAGTGGTTGAGCATGGGACTTTATAGTTAGGGTTTAACTCGGCATAGAATGCACGAAAACCGTCACCGTTCACAATGTTTAGTGGTCTAAGGTCACGAACGCACATGAGCATTGCTTTCTGTTTGACCCTTTCGTACCACTTTCTATCTACAGGTTTTGTCATTCCAAAATTACCAAATGACCAAAGAGTGGCCTGCTTTTGCTTTGGCTGGTCAGAATGAGTATTTGGGTGTTAACATGACAAATGCTTTTTAATGGTACTGGTTGTGCTCCCTGCATAACTCAGTGATGTACCGCACAGACGACATTTGGTTTTTGTCTTTTCATTATCCAAATCAAAATACGCCCATACATTTGATTTTTTATCCTTCTCCATCTCTGTCAATTGGCAATAAGATAGTTACCTAATCATTTTAAGAAGTGAAGTCTCAATTTCTCAAACGATTTCTTATATCAGATGTTAACAGCCGCTTTGCACAAGGCAGACAGACAGTCTGACAACGTAACCCGATAGAGTTATCTCCCCTTATCGAGTCCTCGCGTCCTAGAAAATGGACTCGAGTCCAGCTAAACCCGACTCGTGCTCGAGTACTCGAGTACCCGTTGAAGCCCTAAGCCCTAGACTGTCAAGGTTTTGAAGCTCTCATTTACGTCAATGAATTCGGTATCTTTGATGTGGTGGGGATTTCAAATACCGATTAAATCCATGCCTCAACGATTCCTGTGTCGTTACCTTATAAAGTTCACCTGTTTGCGTCCTCACATCGACGTAGAAATGGGACAACACTTCAGCCAGTTAACCTGTGTGAATCAAACGATTCAAATCATGTATCGTGTTTTTTATCCTGCAGGCGTTGTCATAGTAAGTCGCCGCGTTGTTATTCCCCTACTGAGTATTAACAGGGACTACATTCGAACGTTTTCTCAAAACTTCTTCATTTGAATGAGATGCCAATCTTTTTGTTGACATGGATAGATTGTGCAAACGACAGAAAAAACAAATTTAGAGTTATCTCCCTTCCATCGATTTGCATTCGCAAAACATCGGTAATTTCCGTACATCATATGTGATATCTAGAGATGACAAATCGTTATGGATGATCAACTTCTTTATTTTCACAAAGGCGGTATAGATTTTTAGACCGTTTTCAAGCAAGAAACCAGTTGGAAAGAACACCCTGTCAAGTAGCTATTTGTATACTATATTATAAACATGTAAATTCATTCGAACGGCCGGATTGTTCGTCTTCCTTCGGCCATATATACATCAGGGGTGAGTGAGTGAGTGAGTTTTACGCCACACTCAGCAATATTCCAGCTACATGGCGGCGGTCTGTAAATAATCGAGTCTGGACCAAACAATACATGGATCAACAGCATGAGCATCGATCTACGCAATTGGGAACGGATGACATTTGTCAACCAAGTCGGCGAGCCTGACCACCCGATCCCGTTAGTCGCCTCTTACGACAAGCATGGGTTACTGAAGATCAATTCTAACCCGGATCTTCCCGAGTATATGCATCTTAAAAAATATTATCGGTAATTATTACAAAGTTGTATCTTTCGAGTAACATATCAGTGAACATTGTATAACCCACGCAGGTTAAATACAGATATGTGGCATGTGCACAAACTGAACTTGTGAAAATTCGTGGCTTTTGGTTCTGGAAATTTACATAGAGAATACTACACTCGGTCTCATTACATAGGAATTATAGGAAACGAGTATTCTTCCTATGGTATCTGACTGAGCGAAAGCGAGGTCAGAAACCATAGGAAGGTCACGAGTTTCGTACAGCCTCCTACAGTAGACTACTCCGTAGCACCCCATTGCTTCACTCGCCAAACATCACTGGTGGAAACATTGCGTTTATGTTTTTCGACGGATATAATGTCTCAGTTCCACCCACAATAAAACAGCGACACGGCAACGTTCGCAAAGTTTACATTCCCACATATAAGTTGCAGAATGAATGAATTCACGTGTTTCTTATGAATGAACAGGTAGTTCCGTCACAACGTGACCTAACTGAGAGGTCATCGGTTATCCAATCAAATCGTTAGAATCTCAGGTCAAGTCGTTACGACACAGGTCAACTCGATACGACACTCGTGTGGCGTACGATATTAAGTACCTACCTAACTACCTATACGTTGACCACGTGGATAATAAACAAACTTACCAACCCAGATGATGCGTTTGTAACTGGTTATTACACATGGGTTCTTATTACACATGAGGTGTTATTACACATGGAGCGTTATTACACATGGGGCGTTATTACACATGGGGTGTTATTACACATGGGGCGTTATTACACATGGGGTGTTATTACAATGGGGTGTTATTACACATGGAGCGTTATTACACATGGGGCGTTATTACACATGGGGCGTTATTACACATGGGGTGTTATTACACATGGGGTGTTATTCATGCAGCGATGGATGCCGAAACGTGAAATTCGATATATATTTTATGTAAAGGAACTCAGCAATATTCATTAGTACTCTAGCAAGTTCATCAGATTCAGCTTTCTGTTTTCTCCACGTGCTACAGTGGGTATTCCTGGTTTTACATAACTCATTTAGTTTGTCTTTATCCTCTTTAGCTTCAATTCATTAAAGTGTAAAGTTGATGAATACTGAGAAATGTTAGACACTTTATGGATGACAACTTAGTTGATGGATAGTAGTAAGATTGCAAAGATCCTTTACAAGTGAGTGAATGAATATAGCTTAACACGGCATCAGCAACGCTGCAGCTACTCGCGACGAAGATCCTTTATGGATGACAACTTAAGGTAAGGTACGTTATGGATGACAACTTAAGGTAAGGTACGGATGACAACTTAAGTGAAGGTAGGTTATGGATGACAACTTAAGGTAAGGTACGTTATGGATGACAACTTAAGGTAAGGTACTTTATGGATGACAACTTAAGTGAAGGTACGTTATGGATGACAACTTAAGGTAAGGTACGTTATGGATGACAACTTAAGGTAAGGTACGGATGACAACTTAAGTGAAGGTAGGTTATGGATGACAACTTAAGGTAAGGTGCTTTATGGATGACAACTTAAGGTAAGGTACTTTGTCATAAACAAGTAAATATGTCTGACACGATCACCAGCAGGCTGGACACAGACCGCAGTTCCACAAGATACGTCATGCCAAGAGTATGCAACACCCGTCCCTTGTTATCGTGAAACATTGTCACGTTGGATCAAGTCACGTTGGCAAGTCTGACGTTCTGTCTGTCACACAAATGATGTAAGGCGGTACGCCCGTATCTATCTTGCAATGTGTCATCAACCTTGCGTTCTGTCAGAAGATACAACGTACTGACATCTGCTTCCTTCCGCTGGCATATGTAATGCACAGGAGTATTTTCAGCTCTGTCAGCTAAGTTCACATCAGCGCCATTTTGGATCAACAGATTAACTGTTCTGACATCTACACGAGATCTCTGACACAGTAAGTGAAGGGCTGTCTGCCCATGTTTATCGGCCTTGTTGACATCCAGCCCTTTTTGGATCAGCAGTGTGATGGCCTTCATCTCTTCAGTCTCTGCTCCCTGTTGCCTTTCCGCAAAAGAACATCGTACAGCTTCTAGTTCCTCTTTATCTATACCGTCCCTTTCACACAAATGGTTCACCAGTGTCTCCAAACTGTCTGCGATGAAGATCATTGGGTCCTTTGTCGTCCCTGTGTCCCTTGATCCACGTCTGAAGGCTTTCAAGAAGATTCTTGATATAGTTTTGTAAAGCCCTCTCCATCCACCTAAATAAACCCCTTCGTCTTCGCTCTCTCTGAGACATAGGAAGTGCAAAGCCGTCTCTCCATCTTCATTAGCCTTATTTACGTTTGCTCCATAATCAATCAACAGACGAAGAAGATCAACGTCTACATCTCGATGCCTGCATGCATCATGAAGTACACTTTCTCCATAAGCAAGAAACCTGAAAAGCGCATATGGGTCTTTCTCGAAGATGCTTCCGACTACACAGACAAGAATACTTTTAGGTGAAATGTCTTGCTTTGGTGAAATGTTCGCATTTGCCCCATTTTCCAGCAGGATCTTAGCAGCAATGTAGTTGCGACATCTAACAGCTGCATGCAGCAGGGTTCTCCCCTGTACTGTCTCTCTGATTGATACCGACACGGTTCCATGCCTGCAAATGGATTCAGGTAGAGGTTAAAACTATAAGGGCACACTTGATTTGCACACCGCCGGTCATTTAGCTGGTAAAATGCTGAGTGCAGTGTTCAAACATAAACGACTAAACAATCTTAAGGACAAGAACGAAAGTCTTCAGAGGTTCCTGTTCCGTGAGTATTACTTTCTCATTTACACTTACGCCAATGATTCAATTTCTTACCTGGCCAAAGGGAAAAAATGTGTTTGAGACACTTGAGCGTATCAACTGCTCACAGAACTTCCGTTCCCAGCAGAGCTCATGTTGCAACACCGTGTAGTTCAGCTGACGTATTTCTGCACCCAGCCTCTTAACAAGTGCGTCCATGGCTGAGGATGATTCTTTGAAGAAGATGTACATCTCAATTTCCCCTTCCTGTGGCACACGAACCGTACACTTTTGCATGATGACTGAAATAGGAAATTCTTGTGCAGCAAAGAGAGGGTCTTTGTTTCCAACTGCTACTGCCACACTCTCATAGATGGATGGGTGGGAGAATGCAACACCATTTCCACTCACTTTAAGATAGCTTCCCAATAAACTAGATGCAGTATTTTGCATTTCTGTTCTTAGTGTTGCATCTGTAAGGCTTGAAATATCCAATTGACCACCAGCCTTCAGGAGTATTTTTAAATGATCATAACATTTCTGCTTATCAATCAAAACTCGGGTGGTGTAATTGAGAAATTTGAGTGAGTGAGTTACAATTTAACGTCACATCGGCAATATTTCAGCCATATCGTGACGAGAACATTTTACATTGTAATGAAATATGTATATATTATAAAACCTGTCATCGAAGGACAGTAAAACAACTAGAATATCACAATTAGATTTAAAACTAGTGTGGAAGGTTAAAACTAATAGCACTATTAGGACAATACAAGATAAAAACAGGCTATAGATCGCCAACAACTGGAGGTCGATCACCATACTAGGGACCATGGGGACTTACAGTACCTTGGCTACCTGCATGGACCCTAGTTGGATTTACACCATCCCTTCAGCTGCTGGCGATTGTAAGAAATGTTAGCTACAATTAAAATGACAAAAATGCTACGTTTAAAAATCCTGGTAAGTTTAAATTGACTTTCGAAGTTTTGGGACTTACGTACCCTCTCAGGGGGACAATCATTTTACAATACTTCAACCCCCCCCTTGAGAGTACAGCCACTAACAATCTAAGTTACTAATCAAACTACCAATCATTAAAACACAGCTATATACAGAATATATTAATCAAAATTCATTAATGAAATCAATTTCTTTTAAAAAACCAAGAATTAAATGAAGATGAACAGAATTAAAAGATCCTTAACAGTTTTAACATTGAAATATTTATCCCTTATGATGGAGAATTCAACACAGTCAAGCAGGAGATGCTTGACTGTGACTCTCATCACAAAAGGATACAAAACGGAGGATCTTCACCATTTAACAAATATTTGTGAGTATACCTTGTATGGCCAATACGACATCGTCGCATGATGACCTCTTCAAATCTGGACTGACAACCCAAGTAAGTGTAACCGATATAAGGTTTTATTTCATGTAATTTATTGATACCTACTTGGGTGTCCCACTTCTTCTGCATCAGATCACGAATGTAGGTTCTAATGCAAGCTTTGTAATCAGAGTAAGGAATAAGAAGTGGTGTCACAGATTTGTTGAGTGCTGCCTTGGCAGCAAGATCGGCCATCGTGTTCCCAGAAATGCCAACGTGGCTGGGTAACCAACAAAGACGATGTCGCATTGGCCAGTGGCAAGTTGATTGTACAATTCAATAATTTCTAATAAAAGTGGATGTTTACAAGAAATATTTTTAATAGCCTGAAGACACGAAGAGAATCGGAAAAGATTATGTACTGTCTATGTTTAGGATGTCGTTGAATATATTTAAGAGCCGTTAATATGGCGTTTGCTTCTGCTGTAAAAATGGAGCTGTTATCTGGTATTCTAGAAGATATTGTTCTGGATCCAATGACAGTGGCACATGACACCGCGCCACCGTCCTTGGACCCATCTGTAAATAAGGATTTGTAAGTATTATATTTAGTTTTTAGTTGATTATATTCTTGTTTATATTGTAATTCATTAGTTTCAGATTTCTTAAACTTTGTCAGAGTTAGGTCAACTTCAGGCCTAACCAGTTGCCAAGGAGGAGAAGAAAGAAGACGGAAAGGAGCTATATTTTCTACCTCAATGCCGGCAGCAGAAATGAATGGTTTAATTCTTAAACCAAGAGGTGGAACAAGAGAAGGCTTTTTGTTGTACAAATCCTCATAAAGAGGAGTAAAGACACATTTGAATGCAGGGTTGGACTCGTTAGAATAAAGTTTTGTGATATACTGCAAGGACAATTTTATACGGCGTTGTGTAAGAGATGGTTCATCTGCCTCGACGTAGAGACTGTCAACAGGTGAAGTTCTAAAGGAACCAAGACAAAGTCTTAGACCTTGGTGATGGACAGAATCTAATAGTTTTAAGTTGCTTTTGCAGGCTCCACCATATACGATGGAGCCATAATCAAGTTTCGAGCGGACCAGTGATCGATATAGATGTAGGAGAGTGGCTTGATCCCTCCCACTTAGAATTTGAAACGACTTTCAACAAGTCAAGTGCCTTCAGGCATTTAGTTTTAAAGGGATTTAATATGCGGCAGAAACGTTAAATGGGAGTCGAAAATTAAACCCAAGAACTTGGCCTCCTTAACAACTTTGATGGGAGTGCTATTGAGAAACAGTTCCGGGTCTTTATGCGGTTTATATTTACGACAGAAATGTATGCAATTAGTTTTGATTTAGAAAATTTAAAACCATTTTCAAGACACCATTTATTTATTTTATTTAAACACAACTGCAATTGCCTTTCAATAGTATGCATATTTTTCCCTCGACAAGAAATATTAAAATCATCCACAAAAAGTGATCCATCAATTGAATCATTTAAAACCTTGGATAAACTGTTGATCTTGATACTAAAAAGTGTGACAGACAAAATACTGCCTTGTGGGACACCCTGATCCTGAGTGTAATAGTCGGACAGTGTTGAACCCACTCGGACTTGAAATTGTCTGTCTGTTAAAAATTGCGAGATAAAATGAGGTAAACGACCTCTCAACCCGAAATCATGTAAATCTTTCAAAATGCCGTGCTTCCAAGTAGTATCATATGCTTTCTCCAGATCGAAGAAAATGGATACTACGTGTTGTTTATTTACAATAGCATTTTTAACATAGGATTCTAATCGGACTAAATGATCGATAGTACTGCGGTTTTTCCGGAAACCACATTGAATATCTGAAATAAGATTATTGGTTTCCAAATACCACACTAAACGATTATTTACCATTCGTTCCATAGTTTTGCAAACACAGCTAGTTAATGATATAGGTCGATAATTAGATGCATCTGAATGGTCCTTGCCAGGTTTAGGAATCGGAACAACAATAGCATTCCGCCAAGAAGGAGGAAAATTTCCTGAAGTCCAAATTTGATCAAAAATGTCTAAAAGTACTTCAAGACACGATTCCGGCAAATGTTTTAGGAGCTGATAGTGAATATTATCAGCCCCTGCTGCCGTATCATGAGCTTGCCCAAGGGCAGTTTGTAACTCATGTAGTGAAAAGACTTCGTTGTAATCTTCTCCATTTTCGGAGTTGAAATTAATGTTCTTTTTTTCCTCGATCTCCTGATATTTCTGAAATTCAGGAAGATAGTTTGATGAAGACGAGTGTTTAGCTAATGTTTCACCAAGTTTGTTTGCGATATCTGAAGTATTCTCCAAAATAAGATCTCCTTCCTTGAGGTGTTTAACACTCGTTTTGAACCTTTGCCTTTGATTCTTTGGACCATATTCCACACCTTTGATAGAGGTGTGCGGGAATTAATCTTGGAGACGTAGGTTCTCCATGATTGACGTTTATTTTGTTTGAAGGTACGTCGAGCTTTAGCTCTGGTTACCTTAACATTATTCAAATTATGTACACTTGGATGTTTGCAAAATATTTTTTCCGCTCTTTTCCTATTTTTCTAGCCCGTTTGCAATCTCCATCAAACCATGGCTTACGAATGTGTGGATTAGCAGAGGACTTAGGAATGGATTCGGTAGCTATAGCATTCAGTTCATCTGAAAACAGCTGAATGGGATCAGTGATATTCTGGAATGCTTCATGTTTTAATTTCTCAGAACACAATGATGTGAATTTAGACCAGTTAGCCTTTGAAAAATTCCACCTTGATGAAGGCGGAACGTCAGATGGGTTACTGACTGTTAAAAATGTAGGAAAGTGGTCACTTCCGCATAAATCATCATGAACTGACCATGAAAATTCATTCAGAAGGTTTGCATCTGTGATTGTTAGATCAAGGCAGAATAACTACCCGTTGCAGGGTGTAAATATGTGTTAGTACCATCGTTAAAATACATAGACTATTGTCAGAAATGAAATCCTCTAATATTTTACCTTTGGTATTAATACCACTACTTCCCCATAAAGGATTATGTCCATTCAAATCCCCATGAGTATGCAGGGCTGAGGTAACTGGTCATATAGAGATTGAAGTTCAGATTGTTGGAGGTTTGAAGATGGAGGGATATATAAAGAGCATAAAGTAAAAGCAATGTGTAACGTGAGGCGGACTGCAACAGCCTGAAGATTAGTGGTAAGATGAACAGGGCTATGTATGATATCCTGCTTCACTAAAATAGAGGAGCCTCAGTGGCTTTGCCACCCGAAGGAGAAAAGGAATGATGAGAATTGTACTGACGTAAGTCAAATGTATCCGTCGGCTTCAGGTAAGTTTCCTGGAGACAGAAAACAGATGGTTGAAAGTCTTGGATTAACAGCTGTATTTCAGTTAAGTTGGTCTTAAGACCTCTGCAATTCCACTGGATAAGTGTAGTAGTGTTGTTCATGTTACATTAGGTGGTAAGACAGGGGATCTGTTCCTAGACTGTGGTGAATGACTTTTGCGGCGCGTACGGTGGTGAGGGTGACATCCATATCTTCTAGAATTTCATATTTGTTGAAGAGTTGTACCCGATTCCGTTGACCTTTGGGCACTCGTTCCGGTTTTCTTGAATAGTTGATGTTTTTGCTGGCATTTATCACAACAGGTGATGGTGAACGAGATTTTGGACGGGATGGTGGTTTTGTTTGGGTAGACGCCACAACGTGAATTTCAGACAATGACTGTTTTCAGTATGCACCCAGGTGATATCTGTCTGGCATTCAACGGATTTAGTAGACATGTTAGGATGACGTGCAACTACTGCAGAGTATGACACAGCTGCAGTTGGAGTTGTAGTTGACATCACCAAACGTTTAGCCTCTGAAAAAGAAACATTTTTTCATGTTTCATTTTAACTACCTTGTATTGTAGTTGCCACACAGGGCATGATTTGGAAGAGGCAGCGTGATCACCAGAACAATTAACACACTTTGGGTTGTTTGGGCATTCTAACATTTCATGAGCAGGTTCGCCACATCGATGGCATTTCTTTCTGTTGGTACATGACTGGGCACCATGACCAAACTTTTGACATGAATAACACCGAAGTGGATTAGGAATGTACTTATCCACACCAATGTTGCAATAACCCGCTTTAATGGATGTTGGTGGAACAGGAAGAGAAAGGTAAATAGATAGGTGTTTAACTTTACTATTTGACCATTCTGCCTACTCGTGAAACGTTTTACACCCGTCACACCCTGGTCCTTTAATTCAAAAGCTATATCATCTTCAGACATGTCTGAAAGACAACGTTCTCGGTCTCTGACAATGCCTTTCGAGCTGTTTAAAGTTTTATGTGGTGACACAATAACAGGTACTGAAACGAGATGTTTGAGTGCCAAGAGGGTAGCTGATTGAAATGCAGACTTACATTCAATCAAGATACAGCCAGATCGCATCTTTTTCATTGTGACAACATCACCAGCAATACCATAAATTGCTTTTGAAAGAGCAAAGGGATTCAGCTTCAACGGACCATCATCCGATGAGGAAATCACCAAAAGCGTGACCAATAATCAGATTTGCTGTTAGAAACAGCATCATCATCAGAAGATGTACTATCATCTAATGTACGTTTAAGTTGTTTTGGGGTATCATGTTAAGGTTATAGAGGTTCATCATCCCAGCTCCCCACCCACCATGGAGTATCACGAAGACAATGCTATAAGCCAGTGGATTTCCAACTAGCAGCACCAAGGATACTGGGATGATATACTCTCCAGCAGAAGTATCAATTCGAGATCAATAAATCCACCAGATTGACCCATGAGCCATCGCCTTCTGGGCATTAAGACTCTAGGTAAGTATGTTGATCTATGTAAAATCAATTAATAGTGCAGGTCTACAAGCTATTTGAACAAGACCCCATGGCAAACACTTGAAAGAATCAAATTTGTGCAAGAACAAGTTGAATGCACAGGGCTCAGCATGACCAGCCGATTGGTTGAACCGGGCCCATTCAACCACCCGTCTAGGTGAAGTCAGGGGCAAAGTGGTGTGTTGGGCAAAGGAACACTGTTCCTGGAACCAGTGCCCTCAACCACCAGACTCCCTTCCTCCACCGACACAGGGGCGCAACCCACGGCAAACGGGTTGGTGGACCTAATATCCCCACGGGTCCACAACGGGGGGTTGAAGGGCGCTTGGCGTGACCCAGCACCCACCACGAGGAGGTGGCCCTTCATGGGTGCCTGAGAAATTTGAGAGGTGAAGAAAAGAAATTGACAATGTCAATTTCATGTCCACTTGCCCTCAGTTCAACATACATCTCACAACAATGAGGAAATCCATGAGGACTCCGATTATATAAGTTCATCTTGGTACTTTCTGGAATGTCACTTATATTATGTCTGGAAAGATGAAAGTTTAAGATGTCAAGTTTCTCCCTGTCTGTGTTCAGCTTATCGGGATTGACTATTGAATCCTCTCCCAAAACGACGTCTCCGTATTTTCCAAGTTGATTCCTTGCAGCTTCCAAAACATTGATCCTGCTTACAAATATTATGCTTGGACCACTTTTGTGTTCAGTTTCCTTGATCTGGTTTTCTAAAATTATTTGAAATACGGGAAGCCAGTTGCTAAAAGCTCTTTGGTCAAAATCAAAAGCTCCCAAAACATCATTCATCAAAACAACACTGTGAGGAGCTTTCCTCAAGACAAATATGTAGTCCTCAGGAGTATCAATCTTGAAAACTTCCTTCCCATCATCCTGCAGACTCTTCAGCGTCATGTAACCAAGAGTTGTCTTGCCGTCACCAGCATTTCCGGTAACAGTAACCCATCGGCGCCTTGTTTGAAGCTTCTCTATGACCGTTTCAATGGCTGGCACTCTGACCATTCCTCTGTTCCAGATAGCAATGTCTTTCCTTGTTTGATCTGTAAAAGTATTAGCACTTTAAAGAGATATTCTGATACCCATGGGATGTACACAAACTGAATGTGTGTTTATGTCGTTTTAAAGGACATGGCTGTAAAGGACATGACTACTGACTGACTGAGTATTGTTTTACGCCGTTTTTCGCAATATTCCAGATAAATCACGGCTGGGGAGACGTTGGTCATAACGGAATTACTTACATACTTTGAAATATATTTTCAAACATATTATTATCATATATGTATTTGGTTATTTTATTCATTACATGAAAGAAATTGGTCTATATCATAAATAATAACTGATTGCCTGTTTTAAATTAGATTTGGTGGTGTTTTTAATGTAAAAATATTGTGATGTTATGAGGTTATATATAAATACAATATGTTATGAGGTTATATATAAATACAATAGAACTTTGTAATTATAATGGACTTGTGTATATTTGTCTCGTCGCTAAATAGCAAAAATGTAGCCGATGAGACGTTTCTCACTCACTCCAGTTTTACCTTTTAAATGACACAGCCTTTCTTCATCCACATTGTTGTTTACTGGAAAAGAAAGGAAACAAAAGGTCAGTAATGGCATTTTATAGAAAAACGTAATAGCATGAAGGATTTATGGACATATGTAACAAGTCAAGTTGACGTTTCTACTAGGGGTGGCCGATAATACCGGTTAACCGAACTTCACAATACGATATATTGTAGTACATTTTTCGCGAACCGATTCACCCGATACGATGAGAAATTTCCGTGACCATAATTGGTAATTTTGGTGATGTAGTCAAAAATACTAATAACATTTCAATTTCTTTTGTATTATTATACATTAATACTTCTGAGTATGTTTATTGGTAATATAATTGCATTTGCGTGACTTTTAAACCATCTTAATAAAAAAAATAGATTGGTAACGGCACTCGTTGTATTGATAAACAAACCAAAATAGCGGACGCCGCGGCAGACTCTTTCTCTCGAGTTCCAAACTTTAGAGCGAGGTCATCAGTTTGGAAACGTTTTCAGTTGATTTCTTTGAAAACCACGTCTGAGTCCTGACAGTGGCCAGTGGCATTGTTTCAAAAGAACGGAAACAGTACTTTCATTACCTTAAGCCATGTGTTACATTATTGCAATACGCCACGAATATCGCAATATATCGCAATACGAAATTTTTGGCAATACCTAACCCTAGTTTCTACTAATTCTCTATACGGAGTAGACCCATGTATAAGGTAACTAGGGGTCTTGAGTATGTTATAGTTATTCTGGAGACATACCCTTTAGCGCCTCTTGGTGGAATCCCGAGGCATACACGCCGTGGTCAATGTTGCAAAATACTCTATTCGTTAGCGTGATAACGTTCATTTCTTGAGTATGTTATAGTTATTCTGTAAACATACCCTTTAGCGCCTCTTGGTGGAATCCCGAGGCATACACGCCGTGGGCAATGTTGCAAAATACTCTATTTGTTAGCGTGATAACGTTGATTACTTGTGATTTTTCTCAGATAGATAGAATAACTAGAGGAATAAATGTATGTGAACGTTTAATGTTTAGCGTCCCTTGGTGGATTCCGATGGCAAACACGCCGTGGGCAACATTGCAAAATACTCTTTTTGTTGAGGTGACAATATGTTCATTCGTTGTATAAATTCCCGGGCATATTAGGTAACTGGAGGAACAGAAGGACGTTATAGTTATATTGTAGGCATACCGTTTAGAGTCCCTTGGTGGATTCCGATGGCATACACGCTGTGGGCGGTTCCTTGGTTACCAGTAACGTGGACCGACGTACCTGGATACAAAACAATGTGTTATCAAGATTAGCACAGCCAATGATATTCCACTAAGTTTTTGTGTTGGAACTAATATAACAGATATTGTGTTATTCCACTGTTTCAAAATGTGGTTAAGCAGGTTAAAATGTAAAAGCCAAAACAATTTCAATGAATTAAACTTTGTGAAGGTTCAAAGACGATCCGCACATTTATCATGTTCAAACTGACCACTAAAAATGGACTCCATCGTCTTATTGATATACATGATGTTTAGAATTGGTTTTATTTTATCAGTGGACATGTTTGGAGCATTCCTAAAGTTCACTAAAAGTTCAATAAATTGTAAAGTTTGTTCAAACTTGAAAGAAGCTCTAATCATACGAAATCAAAGAGAAAATCCTGTTACATTTGCTAAAATATTTTTAAGGTAGTTTAGTAGGCATCTTCGGGTTTTTTACAGTTTTTTTCTGTAATCTGAGAACCGCGTATTCCTCCAGGTAACGACACTGTGAGTGGCTGCTGTTAGGTGGAAAGCATCCATGTGGAATTGCCAGTTTATCTCACCTTTCTCCGCCATGTCTGGAGCCCAGTCTTGCTCGATCTGAAAGAAATTGTATGCCAGTGATAATGTTAAGAGATAAATTTGTAGGCACTCTTATACGACCGCCTCCGTGTACGTGATAGTGTTAAGAGATTTTGTAGGCACTCTTATAGCGTCCGCCCGGAGAGCGGAAGGTCGCGGGTTCGATCCCCGACCGCGTCATACCAAAAGACGTTAAAATATGGTACTTGTTGGTCCCTGCCTGGCGCTCGGCATTAATGGGTACAACAAGGACTGGTCGGCTCGAAGTCAGTATAATGTGTCTGAGTGGGGTATTCATGCTTCACTGCGGCATGGTATCTCAGTGGGCTAGCACTATAAAACCAGCTTAAGTCTGGGCTAGTACAAGCAGCCGCACATACACATACACACGCATGCACGTCGTCATATGAGCGAAATATTCTCAAGCACGACGTTAAACCTCACCTCACCTCACCGCACCGTCACCTCAGCGTATATAGAAAGTTGCTTTCAATGACATGTTAACTGAAACTTGCTTTACAATGTTAGCGTCACAGAGATTCATCAACACATGCTCTGTGATAGTATCGCGTGGTGTCAATAAGTGGATTGTCCGTCCCAGACTCCATTGGTTTACAAACAATTTTGCAACATCAAACAGCTGTAATACTGCTGAATCAAATATATGCTCGAGGTTTAGTCACAATCGACTCTCCTTTTAGCAGAGATTTTTTCACAGCAAAATAACTTAGTTTCCGTTCTTGTGGAAATCTAATGGATACTGGGTAATGTAGGTTTCCGCAAGGTTTCTGTACCCAGAAATTGACAGTTAGGCTTTCCGCTTAGTTTAGAAAACTGAAACCAACAATTCTAGGTCTCCGTCATGTTTCTACCAGTGAAACTGTTGCTGAGAGTTTCCATTTAGTTTCAGTGCGCTGAAACATATTATTTCATTGCAGACTAAAACTGTTGAATTGTCTCAAACCTTCGGAAACGAAGTCTATTAGTTTATATGAGTGTGTAAAGGGTTTTATCGCTTCTATTCAAGTGACAAGAGTGAGAGACGTGAACGGACAATATCTATTGTTGACTGACACACCAACATGTTACATATTTACTAGGTCTGACTATCGATATAGAACATAGAGATCGGTAATCGTTAACTAAATATCGATCTATTATCGATACATATCGGAGACGTAACTTTAAGCAAAAATGCCCAAAATGTCCTAAAGAAATGAATATACATGTAACTATGTTTCGCATCACTGGTGAGTGGTAACATGTGTTTGCATGGTTATTAACAAACGGCGTCCTGAACATAAGTTAGTGAGTGAGTGAGTTGAGCTTTACGCCGCACTCAGCAATATTCCAGCTATATGGCGGCGGTCTGTAAATAATCGAGTCTGGACCAGACAATCCAGTGATCAACAGCATGACCATCGATCTGCGCAATTGGGAACCGATGACATGTGTCAACCAAGTCAGCGAGCCTGACCACCCGATCCCGTTATTCGCCTCTTACGACAAGCATAGTCGCCTTTTGTGGCAAGCATGGGTTGCTGAGGACCTATTCTACCCCGGATCTTCACGGGTCGAACATAAGTTAGAAGGAGACCATGAATATAGTCATAAATGTTGTACATGTGTGGCAGTGTTGTAGATATGTCTGAAGTTTACATATTTGTATATACATTTATATTATATTATAATGAAATAATGTATTTACTTTTACTGTGAAGTACAGAATACAATAAACTTGCTTTCTACTTAGCTCCTGGATGACTTTTCTCTAATTCAACTTTAATATTATTTAACTGCCTTTTGGTAGCTGTGGGGTAAATACTGATGTTAAGCACTTCAGCTACACAGCACACAAGCCACTGTAGACTGAAACTGGCCATATGTTCTAACAGGCAAGCTATGTATTTTGTATGGCTTTTTTACAATTATGTTCTTGTAAAATAGTACTTACACAGGACCAAAAGCCGGATAGTAAACCATTGAAATAAACGTAAATACAGTAGGCAATACATGCCATGGCAGGATTTACGTATGTTTTCAGATATTTCCTAACTTCGGGCATATATTTCATATGAATCTATACCTTTGAAACATATGCTCATCGTACATTTTCGTATGTACAAGCACCTTCGTTGCCCTGACCGGATGGTCAGGGATTTCCAAACATGAATTGCAAAACAGATACCCCGGTAAATACATGATCATACAGTATTTCCAATGCATTCCTTTGAATTTCAGATAAGACTTCCGCCCGTATCCCCCCAATGGATCACGTGGGTCAAATTTTAAAGCTGAAAAAGTCTAAATTTCTTTGAGTTCTTCAAAAGTTGTATGTCTTCAGTATGTTCAGATCTAAAAGAACTGTATGTTAAAACTCATCCTAATTTACCGATTGTTTTCCAAACACTGGATGAGGAATTGTATACTCAGGTGATATTATTTGTAGACTAGAATGAAATTTAAGAGGCGATACGGGCGGAAGTCTTTCCGAATTTCATAAATTTTTCAGATCCTTCGATTTCGTTCTAAGTTTCCACCTCGGGTTGAATTGCAAACATGTGAATTTTTCCACTTCCTTTGAGGTGGGAAACACATGTAAATTTTCAAATTTGCAAATATTTACACACCTTAGATATTTATGTATCATACCGGATTTCAGGGGTATATATGTGCACCGTTCATACACCTTCATCTTCCCTGTACTCAAGCAAGATGATCATATGTTTCCATCATGTGAATTACTTGGTTCATGTAATTTCATTTTCACACATTTTAGTACGTTTGAAATCAACGTTCACTTGACCTCAATATTCTTATCACCACAAGAGCCTGACAAAGAAAACAGTATTACGCAAGTTCATACGCCTTATCAAGCTGCACTCGCTCTTGCTACCAGTATCAGTTACGCCTTGTCTGTGGTGTTGGCAAATCTTGTGAGGTGCATGTTTCGAGGGATTAAAAGGTTCAGTGGTGAACAAAGGGCGATGCGTTGGTCCTTTGTCCTCGCAAGTGTCCCTAGCTGTTCCAATAGAATAGCACTTTGTCTCTCTTGGAGCACAGCCAAATCTGCTAGACGAACCAACTCGTAATTTCTTAAGTCTGTTCAGCTCGCGCACCACTACTATAAAATATTTTGTGGCAGTACATAATTGGAATATTATTGCACTGCATGTGACCTTCCCTAATAGTCTCACAGTGCCTGAACAATGTTATTTCTCCATTCGCTCAGCCTTTACTGAAATAGCGCCATACATAAACTTAAAGTTGTCCACATGTATTTCTCTAACGATAACAAACAATGCCATATCAAATTATATATTCTGTGAGACATGAAATGAAAAATTGTTTTTATCGTGTAGCGATTATGACCGGATAGCACAGGCGGGTGCGTTCTCTGAGTATATCATAGGCATAATGGATCTCCGTGCCTTTTGTGAAATTCGTCTATGTTGTCCTGTTTAAATTGACGATCCATAACTCAGATTGCGAGTAAATATCACGTAAGTAATTGTGATGTCGCATTGCTGTAACTGTCCCTGTCGCAGAAGTCATTCTCACAAGTTATATATTCCCTTGTTTGAAGAAGATGTATGGCTATTACGCCCCAGTGTTGATAAACATCTTGTAGGCCTTTAGTCTGACACAGACGCAGACCTCGCATGTTCAAGTTCGGATCTGACAGGGGCTGAAAATATCATTCCGACATGAGCACAATATATCAGTGTTTTCCTAAGTAAGTGGAGTGCTTTCTACAACATTGGAAATAACTGTATCGTTATCCTTCGGTGATGATTGTTTTTCCATCGACATGTATAAGGATGTTTTGTTACAGTCATGATTACATACTGAAAGCCATTAAAATCGCAATTGGTATTTGTTGTCCTGAAACTTACAAAAGTTCTATTGAAGATTTTTTCCTGCGATACAGAGGATGTAGGGATAAAAGGCTGTTATTCTGGCCCATTTCGAGTTCGAGTCCCGGAGCATTCCCCTCACATGAACTTTGATACTTAAAACTGAACATTTGACATTTCTCGTAAACACATCCACATTCATGAAACACGTTGTGCACATGCATTACCTGCACCCAGGCCCTGTAAAAGCACAAGGAATTGTGGAACTCAATCACTTTGAGAAAATCCCACACTTGACACAAGACGAAAGGAATCAGGTTATCGGTATGGTCAGCCAAGGTGCTTCAGATGTGATGATATCCAGGCACTTTAATGTGCATCAATCCACTGTAAGTCGACTCAGACAACGTTTTCGGGCTACCGGAGTCAACGTCATTTCAGCGCCTAAAAAGGTGCAAGGACGCCTTGCTGCCTTCAACATCCGGTGTCGGCACTCGTACCGTGGTCCAACCTTATTGCATCGCCACAGACTTGCCAGACAGGCAAATGGGGCCAATCTTGGCAACAGGACATGGCCAGATGTCATTTTTTCAGATGAATCCAGGTTTAACTTAGCCTTTGCAGATGGACGTCAACAGATTTATCGACGTAAAGGAGAAAGACATGCGCCAAACTGTGTCCTTGAACATGTTCGTTTTGGAGGGAGTGGTGTCATCAGACCACAGACCATCAGAGGCTGCAGACCACCCAACAGCTGTTCCTGAGAAATGTGTTTCTTTCAATGCCCCAAAGACTGCGAGCATGTCTTGCAGCGCACGGTGGACACACGATATTGACTGCAAGTAACCCCTCCTTTGTGTGATGTCGTTGTTGCGTCACTGATGTTGTTGTTGACTGAACATTTTCAGATGAAATTATTCACAGATGTTCACTTAAAACATATCTGCCAGTTAGGTTTATATATGTTAAAATTAGTGTGAGTAAAGAAAGTATAAATGTCAAATTGCATTTTTAATGGCTTTCAGTATATGTGAATCATCACTGAAATGCAGTTGTTTATTTTTCATTTGTTTATCATTTATTTTAGCAAAAACACCAAATACTCGATGTATGGTATTGTATCAATGCAGCAGACATGTGTAAACTATGTCCAAACATATT